GCGTAGGGATGCGGATGATACGTTTTCTTTACAGGAGCGAGCAGGTTGTCGCACAAGGAGGTGGGGTTTTAATGCAGCGTCAAGAGGGTCAAGAGGTGTTGCCGATGATCACAATCGGCAACGTGAACAACTAACGCCTGTACATGCATCCGAAAAAAAAAAAAAAACGCCTGGAAGACGCCTGGAAGAGAGGACACTACAACAGTGTAGTAAACAAGATTCCGAGGTGGTTTCCAGCATGCAGTACATCTACATCAGACAGCCATCAGGCGCGTTGCTGCGTACCAGATGTAATCAATCGTGAGCAGCGTGCGTACCACCCAGACTACAGCATCATCGGGCCCCACACATCCCACATATCCCAAAAAGCAAACACAACCGCAAGACGGACGTTTTCACAGGACGAAACAGCTCAAGGCTGGGCTTCTCAGAACGTCCTGATGAACGGCCTACGCGCCACGCGTTCCGAGGAGCGTCCTACACGAGACCTCTGGTCAAGATCCGAATCCAAACCCACTGCAGCCTACCGTCTCTTGAAGCCTGCGGCGTCCGCGCACGCGCGTCCTCCGGGTGGACTCGTCGGTGGGAACGGAGAGGTCGTCGATAGACACGTTCACGGTACGGGGAACACCGTCATCGGAATCCGAGATAGCCTCGGCCATTCCTTCCTCAAGGTCCGCCTAAATACGCACGAGTAGTGCGGGAGAGAGACGGGGCAGACAGCAACGAAAGACCAGCAGCAACACCACAAACAAATCGCGAAGACATCGTCAACAACAGTGTACTAGTGTAAAAGAGAGAAGACGAAACATAAACAAATTTCTGCTCTTCGACAGAGAAACAGCAACCACACATGGGGAGACAAGAAAGGAAGCAGTGGGACGTACACGTCTCCAACATAAAAAATACAGCGAAATCAACAACAGTTACAAGAGAGAGGTGGCGGGATTCTGAAACTTTTCCTACACAGATCACCAAAAGAAAAAGCTGCAGCAGCACACCCACACGCTAGAAGCATCACACGGGCCGTGAGCCAAACCTGACCAGCCAATACACCGCATTCAATAACAGCCGAACATGTGCCGCTCAGCAGACGAGTCAAAACCCGAGCCTCCGCAAACCAACAAGTGGTCGTCCAGATAGAAAACGCATCAACCTAAAACAGCAAGGCCCCCGACTGCCCACCTGCAACTCCTCTTCGGTCCTCCCAAAGACGCCCGCCAGCTCTAGAGAAGCCGTCATCGTAGCCGACACGGGTCCTGGAACTGTCGGCGCGATCGTACTTCCCAGCACTGAAAGGGTGGTGTTGAAACGATTCGCACCGGCACATGGTCAATTGGTGATCGTGTCGAGTCGGATGTAAACAAGCAGGCGAGAACTATACCAGAACAAGCACGCCCACAAATGTGCGCCAAACAGTAAAGATGGCAGGCCATACCGTGCCACAAGAAGTAAAATCTCCAATGTGGTGCATGAGCGAGAACGAACAACGCAAACAACAGTGGGTGGGAATGGAAAGCAAAAAAAAAACGGCCCCAGAACGACAGAGATCACGACGCTCGTGGGGGCAAAACCGCACACGGCAAGCCTCAACCCCTAATGATTGACATACATGACACGATACGTGAGGTTATCACCCCCAATCCCACCTGTGGGTGCGGCACTCGGTGCAGCACTTGGAGAGGCACTGGGCGCAGCGCTTGGCATCGCACTTGGTGCTGCACTCGGCGCTGCGCTCGGCATCGCACTTGGCGCGGCGCTTGGCATCGCACTTGGTGCAGCGCTCGGCATCGCACTCGGCGCGGCGCTTGGCATCGCACTTGGTACAGCGGTGGGAGCCGCGCTCTGTGGAACGGTGGGAGCCACGGTAGGGGACATCGTAAAGTCCCTGGTCCCATCCGGCGGCCACGTGGCGCCAGGAGCGAGCGTCGTTCCCGGTGCCATGGTGATGATAGGTGCAGGGGTAGCACCAGGAGCCAACGTCGCGCCAGGGGGCAACGTCGCGCCAGGGGGCAACGTCGCGCCGGGAGCCAGCGTTTCGCCAGGAGCCAACGTCGCGTCAGGGGCTGGCGTAGCGCCAGGGGGCAACGTAGCGCCGGGAGCCACCGTTTCGCCAGGAGCCAACGTCGCGCCAGGGGGCAACGTAGCGCCCGGAGTTAACGTCGCGCCGGGAGCCAACGTCGCGCCAGGGGGCAACGTCGCGCCGGGAGCCAGCGTTTCGCCAGGAGCCAACGTCGCGTCAGGGGCTGGCGTAGCGCCAGGGGGCAACGTAGCGCCCGGAGTTAACGTCGCGCCGGGAGCCAACGTCGCGCCAGGGGGCAACGTCGCGCCGGGAGCCAGCGTTTCGCCAGGAGCCAACGTGGCGTCAGGGGCTGGCGTAGCACCCGGTGCAGCCGTAGCACCGGGTGCCGGCGTAGCACCAGGAGCCTGCGTATCACCCGGTGCAGCCGTAGCACCGGGTGCCGGCGTAGCATCAGGAGCCTGCGTAGCACCAGGGGCTGGCGTAGCATCAGGAGCCTGCGTAGCACCAGGGGCTGGCGTAGCACCCGGTGCAGCCGTAGCACCGGGTGCGGGCGTAACACCAGGAGATGGTGTAGCACCCGGTGCAGCCGTAGCACTGGGTACCGGCGTAGCGCCAGGAGCCTGCGTAGCGCCGGGAGCGGGAGTACCATCAGGGGCCACGCTCGCTCCTGCGTTGGGACGGAGAGCGGACGGACAACACCTTACAGCGTCAGGAACGCACGATAAATACATCATGTACGGCGAGGGCGGACTAGCAGAAACACCAGCAGGTCATCTACAGCACTACCAATCGGTCCATCGCGATAGTATCCCGGATGTATTGTATAAATCATGAACCGATATCAAGGTAAACTCTACGCTTGTTGGCAAGAAAACAAGCCATGTGAACAAAAAGAGTGAGCTCGACACTTGACACCTGCTGTAGGTACCCGTTGTCGCCTTGATGCCCTAACCGTCTTGACGTTGCAATGCAATACACACATAGACATCACGGCAACCGACCGCCCGTAAAAACCGCTGAGCAGCGTAAGTAAGAGGACCCCCCGGGGTGGTGAGGATGAATCGGTCCAGGGGCGTCGAGGTACTATACGCAACCTTCCTAAAAAGCGCCGGCAGCAAGACACCCGCTTCTCCTGATGTTCAAAGAGTCTAGTACCTGGTGCCATGCTGGGGACCGAAGTCGTCGCCACGTCGGGGGAGAGGCTAGCAGCGGCAGGGCTGACAGTTGCCCCCGCGGGAGCCACCGTCGCCTCCAACAGTGGGGCCGGCGTAGCAGCCGCCGGCGCATCGGTGATCACCACCTGGGAGGGGGCTACCGTCTCCTCCACGAGAGGGGCGGGGGTGGCGACGGCGGCGGGCACCGACGTGGCCTCTAGGGCGGAGGGGGGCGGGGTGACGCTCGGGGGAAGGGTTTCCTGGAGCTCGTTGCAGGGGAGGCATGTGTCGTCCTCCGTCCAGCCCACGCAGCTGACAAAGAAAGGGGGTGGGGTGGGCGGGGAGAGGCGGACCAAAGGTTTATCATATATTTTCATGACCATATTCCTACGAGCGCAGACCCTATCTCACATTGTGTGACTCTGACTGGAGCACCAAAAAAAAACGAGCACCTGCACATCGAAAAGAGGAATGATACACGTCCGGGAAAAACAGAATGGCGAACACACAGAAAACATCCCGCGCTCCCGTCCCCCATCGTTCGCCACCAAAATATCACACACGAACATCCAGAGGCCACTGACGAGACAACACCAAAAACAAATGCGACAAGGCCGATAAAACCCACACGAATGTAAACAAGGCAGGAACAAAACGGAAACGGCGCACTATTTAGATATGCCGACAACTCGTGGGCACAATAACGACAATTTAGAAAACCGCTCTGAAAGCGATTGGTCTCGTCCTCACTTGTCGGCACGGCAGGCGCGGCACAGCTGCCCCAGTCCCCTCATGTTGCACCAAAGTCCACCGAACGGGTCCGATGGGGTGTCCGAACACTTGTCGTCGCAGTACAGCGTAAGGCTGTTATCGTCGATGTAGCTCAAGTCGGCAGAATCCGCGTTGTCTTCGCAGGCTGCAGTGGTACACGAACTAGCGTCTGATACCGCNGGGGGGGGGGGGGGGGGGGGGTACCACGGTACAACACACACACGTTCATCAACGGGAGGTATGGGAAGGTTAGCGTTGGCCAAACAGGTTTTGACGTTGGTCGGCCGCGTGTGCAGTCGCCCCAAGTCCCTCCCAGCGACACCGACGGCCAAGGGCACATTGAAGCAATTGGTGCCATGATAGGGTCAGGGTCACACTTCCGCCGCCACCCCGCAGTGAACGATTCAAAGCAGACAGGGTTGGCTAGTTGGATGGTTGCGGAGCGAGAGAGTAAAGGCGAACACGGGCGACCGGGTGGCCAAGCTGCACGGAGCAAAACAGTCAAGTCATCAAGCGCACGCAGGACGGTTTAATTGGTTGCGGACAGCACAATCAAAAGGACACAAGCGTGCCGTAAAAACAACACTCGGGGCACACGCAAGGCGCTGCCCAAATTACATGATTCCTTCACCGCTGTAGATAGGAATCATAGCTTCGTGATAAAAACCCACCGCGCCACGTTGAACAGCATAAACAACCACAACGACCACGGGACCGAGGACAAAAAATTATCGTGATCCGATCCGATCCAGGTTCACAGACAATTAAGCGGTCGGGTGGCGAGCTGTCTAGCTCTCGACTCGAAATAATTTCGCGGGGCGCGTTCACAAAAAAAACGAAAATTCGGTCAGATTCGGCTCCCAGGTCGTGGTTTCCGCATGCTGTCGCTCGCACGCTCGGTGTCGGTACATGTACCGCTTCGGATAGTCTGGTCGGAGCCCGTTCGCGCGCATGTTGGTGTAGAGCCCTCCCCCCCCCCCCCCCCCCC